ACCCAGTTCCGTTATCATTCGCTCAAAATGCATCCCGTAGGGTTCTTTTGGTCGGCCTGGATCCCGGGAAAAAAAAAGTCTCCTGGGGCAACAAGCTAGGACCAACACCGGATGCGCAGGGCTTTAAATACTCGAAAGTTGTATTGTTTTAAAAATTACGTCAAATTTACAACTTTCAGCCATTGTAGCGACCCCTAAATATTTTTCGATCGGTCTCAAATTTGGTTTGCGGTGGTTTTAGGTAAGAATGAACCCTTTTCCGGGTGTGCCGGTATGGAATTCAAAAAAACGTGCATTTCAATACCCCTTACCACATATGTTTTAAGATTGCAAAAGGCTGTTTCTAAACATGAAACCTGTTCAACGACGACACAACTGTTTTGAATCACGATAACATTATTGTTACTTGACAAGGAAGTTGTTTTGAAACGAAAGTGTTGTTTCTGGATGGGTTTCCCGTTTAGACACAAAACAAGACTGTTGTTATTAAACAGCATAACTGTAGGTGGGTCATTCCATGCCAAGTCAACCAGAGCCAAAGCCATGATGTCACCGATTTGGACCAAGGTTGGTGGATCGCCGTCAATTAGTGTTAAGATCGATGCCCTAAAATAGTTTTGGCCAATTTCCAATACTTCCGGAGATATAGCCATAGCTCATTTTTGGCTATTTTGCCAAATGTAAAAACAGTGTTTCACTTAAGTGCCAATATCTCGGCTCCTATGAGACCTAGAGTGGTGATTCTGTGCTCATTCGAAAGGAAATGAAATTTTGCATAAAGTGGCGTCGGTTTGGTGTCGATAGATGTGAAAATAGGAAAGTTCACTCTAACGAAGAAACAGTGAACTTTACAGTGTAGTTCCCACCGAACGCCATCTTCGATTTTTGAAATTTTTGTCCTGAAGGTCCATTGAGGTCCCTACTTCATTGTCCTAAAGTATCTCAAGAAGTTCTAGGGTTTTGCGGTTTTTGTAGGGGGGAAAGTAAAACAGTGCACCCAAAAAATGGTGATTTTGCAGTGAAGGACCCGAATTAAGTGACATCAAAGGCAGCCAACCCTATTCATAGACCGCCTGCTCCGTGTACAGGCAGCGACCGATATCTGAGGCCACTCCCTGATAGGTCGAGTTACTTCACGCTCGAACCCTCGGATTTTAAACATGGCGAATGTAAATGTTGACTACATCATTCGGTTTATCTTGCCCTAATATATCAATGAGGAGTTGGCTAAAAGTATCCCAAACACACTGGTGAGCGGCGGGCTGTTGCCTACAAGGCAACTTATTTCCGCAGCTGTTGAGTAACTGCCTCGAGGGGGTACGTAACTCTCGAAAATCGTGTACAGCGACTGTAAAAGTCAACAGTCAATTTGACTGTTTTGACTGTAATTGACTGTAGATGACTGCAAAACAGTCTAGTTCTGCTTGGGTGGAAGTCGACTTTTAGACTGGGAAATGACTATGTTGATTGTAGGATGACTGCTTAGAGTGTAGAATGACTGGTTTCCCCCCACAGATCTGATCAAATATGCGAACAAAACCTTACAAGAACCAAAATTTTAAACGTTACTACAAAATTTCCGAAAAGTTATTCAAAGTCACTTTACATCTTGTCAAAAAGAAGCTTACTGAATTATCTAGAAGGAATACAGTACAAAATCACAAAATTTTTATCCTTTTTCGCTAATAAAATGTTTTTACAAAGTGCTTGTAACATGTATGAGCCTCCTAAACGTGCAAAGTTTGACTGAAATTGGCTTTTGACTGAAGTGACTGCCAATTGACTGTGTGACTGTTTTTGGGACTGTTTTGGAGGCGTACAGTGACTGTTCTGAGTTACGTACCCCTCGAACTGCCTAGTATGCAGGAGGTGATGCAGCCACACTGTGAAAATTTGAGTCATCACTTGATGACAATTTCAAGGCTAATGTTCCTCACACACGGAAAAAACAACGTTAGCTGAATCAGCAAAAATTTTGCTGGTTTACCTAACACCCGTCTGTAGGTAATGACACAGCTAATACGTTCGTTAAACTAACAAACGCTTTTGTTCCAAAGTTAACTTGCTGGTTTAGCGAACGTTTTTGTCTACTTTTAGCGAACGAAGGCTGCTAAGCTGGCATGGATGGAAGACTGAATTCGGCAACACAGCAAAAAATCTTTTGCTGAAGTAACAAACGTATTAGCTAAAGTAACTAATCTGAGTAAACTGAACAGGCAATCCTTTGACGCTTCGTTGCCGAAACCAGAGAATGTTCGTTCGCTAAATTAGCGGCCATTTGGCCTGTTCATCAGCAAACAGTTTAGCTAGAACTCCAATCACTAGTTTGTAGGAATAAAATGAAATTTGTAGAAATAAATGGTCTTTATTTCTCCCTCCTTTTCCAATAAAATAGAACAGTAGAAATAGAACAAAAAGCATACAATAAATTTCTAAATCTAAATTAAGTACAAGCTGGAATAGCCATAGGCAGTGAGATCAGGTACACAGTTACAATTACAAGTAATGCTTAAGTACAACAAATCTCTTTCCACAGCTTGAGGAAAAATCATAGAGTGGAAAGGGATCCACCAGATCTTCATGGCATACACAAACAAGTTTGTTTATGTTCCCAGGAAGTACCTCAAACCCACCAACGTGATCACAGAAACCTATGTTACGCAGCTCAGCACAAACAAATAATGGAGAACTATTGAAAATAAGAATATCAACTATTTTCCCAAAGTTGAACATGACTCCATCACAGATACCAATAACTAGAACCATTTGGGGTTCATAGCGAGTACCTTGGAAGCAAACCCAAGAAACTCGCTCACATGCCGAGGTTAAACTAGGTGGTAGTGAAGATCTAAAGCGAAAGTAATAACAGTGGTCCACAAGATCCATAACTTCTCCTGGTCCACATTCCATTTGAGGCAATAAAGGTTCCTTAGCAATGGATCGGAAGCACATGGTAAGTTGGTGCTTGATAGCACTTGACTTTGGAAGATTTTTGCGAGAAGTAATGGCCCTGGTATACCTTGTGATATGCCTGTGCTTCCCTTCACCTCTAAAAGAAGCATAATGAGACATTGGACCAAGGAGCTTTAGAAGCCTTCCATAGTGCAAAAGAAAATGAAATTTTGGCTGCAACAATAGTTTTAGAAGCTTCATATACAGGGAGTGGTGTTCTTCCACCAGAAGATCCAGTTGCTCAGCAACATTTACATTTAAATACTTGGCCTGGCCTATTTCCATTATTTGCTTGTGAAGTTTGTAAAGTTGCCAATAAGGATCTTCTTCTGGAATTAGATCACCAATTAAAACTCCAAGTATTCTAACTAAAGTCAGCATCTCCTTGGCAGTACACTTTATCTTTGACATTGTATAGAAATCCTGAGCTATACATGGTGGCCTGTTACTAGAATCAGATGGCCCAAGATCAAAATAAAACAGCCTTGAATTCAGAATATCTACTGTTAAGTACTCGGAGTCAACAAAATGCTTCAATACAGGAATGAGAACATAATGGCAAATGCCTTCTGGGCCATCGTGCATAAAATCAACATGAAAATTCTCAGCGATATGAAAAGATTTCAACTCATTAAAGACACAAGATTCTTTGACTCCTGTTGCACTCACATTAGACGTCTCCACATCTTCTGTATAATTTACTGGATCACGTAATAATGAGGGATCCTCCCTTGTCATAATCTTGGTAAGTTCCTTGGGAGCTCTGCAAATAGTACACGGAAAATTTGCGGTAAAGGCTTCAACATACCCAGTGATGCCATGCACTCCAAGATTATCACCAATGACTTGCATCAACACAAAATATAATTTTACATTTCCAAAGTCGTCTGTGTCACACTGAATCCCCTCTGTTTCAAGAAATTTACATTCTTCAACTAATGGCTGGAAAACCTCCTTGTTAAAACTTATTCGCCCATGTTCATAACTCTTTCTATCATCAGATGAAATAAGCAAAGCTAAAAGAATGTTCTCAAGTTTAGATTGACAAGAAGGAGGCAAAACTGGAATGAAAATATATCCTGCCCCCAGTTTCTCAGAGTGGGGACCAAGAGCATTATTACTTTCAACTTCATCATAATAGAATGTTAGAGGAAACACAATATCAGTATTGGAAAAATGAGAAGTTCTGAGCTGCCACAGCTGACCTTGGATTACATTGGAAATTACATTGACATTGCTAGATTTCAAGAATTGAACATATTTCAAGGTTTCAGACAAAGCCCCTGGAAGTTCAAAAAACACTTTGAAAATCTGTCTTAAAGAAATGAACTGGCCAGTTGTTTTAACCCGTTTAGTGACAGTTCCTGCCCGAGTCTTAAAATTTTTGAAGCAAGACTCACTTATTGTGTAAGGCTTGGGAGGGATATAGTGATTACCTTCTTGAAAAAATTTCATACGCAGATGGTCAGTTTCAAGGCCACTAAATGGTTCATTAAGAGAGTCAAACATATCAGACACTTCATCAATTGAAGACTGCGGAGAATTAGCAGAAGTTAAATATTGAATCACTTTGTCCTTGAGTATTTGAACAAAACCACCAGTGAGGAAAGTATCTACATCATCCACAAAAGTTTGGACAAAGTTACGAGGAATGGACGGATTCTTATAGAGTTTGGCAAGCAAAAGCGCAATACTTTTATCATAAGATGCCTTGAAGTCTTGCGGAGTTACATCAAGGCAACTATTTTCATCGTCTTCATAAAACCCACAGTCCATTTCATCTTGATCAGTGCTAGAACTAGTTGCATTGAAACTTGTCTTAACAGTAGGAATATTAGAAGAGGTATTGTTCTTTAGGGGACATTTATGAACTTTAACCAAATGGCCACGAAATGCTTTCCAGTTGTCAAAAGTACGAGAACACAAATCTTCACCACAAGAATACTTAAAGAACAAATTATCTTTATGTGCTATGTTTAGGTGGACTTTAAATTGAGGTAAAGATACAAGAGATAGACTGCAGATGGAGCACTTGACCATTTTGAAAACAATACAATACACGTTTGACAAGATATTGAGTCAAGATTTCAATGGACTAGGGGAATAAATCACAAAATACAAAAGAGAAACTAACTAAATCTTAAAATGTTACACTAACAGATCCTAACAGCACAATCAAGACTAAAATAGAAACAGTACAGTAGTAGTGAAAATGTAAAACTCACAGGTCTAAAAATAACATAAAAAGCTAAAGTAGGAACAGAAAATACTGATGAAACATTACTAAAAATATTTAACTTCCCAGCACAGCAAATGCTAGTGAAACATGACTAAAAAGAATTATTGAACTCATTTACAAGCACATCTACAGTATTAACACTTTTGTCCCATTTAGTGTCAAACTTGTAGATAGCTTTTTGCAGGAACATCCACATGTGCTCTGACTCAACTGGGTAGTCTGCATGTAAAGCATGATATGACTTGAATGCCACATCAACTGCCTTTAAGGGGCTCTCCACTTCGTACTCAGTTTTGTCGAAAATCACTAGGCATTGTTTGTTGTTGCCGGCATCCACAATGACAGGCAGTGGCTGATCTGTGAAACCAAACCGGCTGAGCTTATCTTGACGAGCCTTTAAAGCCTCTTTCAGTTGACCACGGCCCTATTTTCAAAAAAAAAAAAGGAAAAGAAAAAACCAAATTGTTAATTTAAAAAAGGAATTGAGCTTAAGAAGTGAAGTGCTTATGAAATTTTCTAAACTTACATTGACATGAAGAAGAAATCCATCTTTCATCTCTTGTTTAGAAGTACGCCAATTCCCTACATCTCCTGACCTGTTGTGGGTTAAGGTTGAAACTGCAAATGATCTGGATAATTCCCTGAAGGTAAAAATGGTTTTCTCATCTGAAAAAAGGAAGAAATAAATAAATGAATACAGAGAAGCAGAAAGATAGGTCAAAAGGGGTCTTGAAGTTGTCTTGAAGCTGTATTTGTCTTCCTAATTACAGTATCCATAAAATTTATACAACCTGTTTTTGGAAACAGAGTGCCTTTCGATTCGTGTGTGGTCAGTCCAATATTTTCAAAATGTGGATTTAAATTGATCGTTGCCTTGTTCTTGGCCCTAAGCATGACTTTGAAACCGATGCTAGAATTGACACTTTTGAGTGTTGAATGCTGGGAGCGGCATCAAGTCTGAAAGATTCAAGAAATAATGCACGATTTGGTGTGGAAAATAAAAGACATTTTATTTCCCAAACCATGCATTGTTCTTTGAGCAGATCAGTTCTGATGCAGCTCCCATGATTTCCTCACACATAATACTGAGATGTTAACTCTAGGATGGATGTCAAAGTCATGCTCAGAGCCACAAACAAGGCAACAATTAATTTAAGTGCACTGATTGCAGAAATTGTAAAGTGGGAACCACAAATGAAAGAAAAGGCAAGAAGTGCCACCCCAAGTCATAAAAAATAATTTAAAAACTTTAAGACTTGAATAATAATAGTAACAATACGAAGTGATGAGTAAGTCCATTGGGGCAACATCTAGACGTTTCTAATAAACAGGATAAAGGCATTGATTCATTAAATCTTACCAGCAGTCTTGTTGTCAAAATCATCATAAAGATTGTCTCGGTCTAACTGCCTCAGTTTAGACAGTACAAATCGTTCCAACTTGGGGTATTCCGCACTAAGCTTCAGTATGGCATCTGGTTTGTATACCTCGAAGTCAATGTCCAACTGTAAAGAAAGAAAAATTATACAGTGTACAAAGTACATGCAATATACTCCAAAGCAATGCAATATATGAGCTTACCAAGTGCCATCCTGTTGGCTGATAAATTTGAGGGAATTCAGCTGTGTATGTGTAAACTTTATCATTGTCAGTTTTGCGTTTTTTCACAACTTTCTTTGATTTTTCCTAGAAGGGCCTTCATCTGACACAATGACTGGAGCTTGCAGTTTAGCTAAGCGTGATTTGCTGGTCAATTTCCAAGCGGTGAGAACTCGTGTCCAAGGTGATACATTCTTACTTTTGAGCCACGCCAAAGCCTCTGCCACCTCTTCATTGTCTTCAGGGCCTGAAAGTAGCAATGAGAAAATGAGAAAACAAAACAAACAATGAAAACAGAACTTATGTTTGATAGATACTTACTGTCCATTTCGTCATCAACATTTTCTTCTCCATCATTTTCATCATCTACCATTCCATTGGTGATGAGGGTACGCCTCACAGTGTAAAACCTTGTCATAATCCTGCCTTTGACTACAGTCCCATCCTGTTTTGGTCTGTCTTCAATTCTGAACCATGTAGACTGAAACAAAAAAGTTAAACATAAATACTAACTTAACGCTGAGAGTATAAAATTGCAACATAAAAAGAATAAAAATAATGGGATAAATACCACTAATTCAGTTGGAAACTCATTCACCACTAGCTTTGCTAACTCCTCACACCGTTCTCTTGATATCCTGTAAGTTCAGAATGACAATTTAGCAATCAGCATGAACATCATTTTATCAGTGATCATGTCACCAATCTAACCATCACCAAAATAGAAGAACTTCATAGATTTAAAATTTAAGACACCAGAGTCAAAGGTTAAAAGAAAAAGAAAATAAAACCAGAAAATTGAAAATAAGAGTCGAAGTTTAACAGAGACAAGATAACAATAAGAAAAAGAAATCAGAAAATAGAAAATATAAGGCAAAGTGAGAGGATACACATTTGACTGAAAGACAGTTCTCATGCAGAAGAATAGCATCTCAGGAAGGCTTGAAGTACCGTTTGTCCAAATTGTCTTTTGAGTTCACGGTTGACAACTGCATCACAAAGCTTGATTCTGTCTAAATCTGTTAGTTTCTTATTAGCTTTGAATGCCTTTAAAGCACTGGAACCTTTTGGAGAATGTTCAAGAAAGTTGTGAAAGTCCTGAGCAAAGCACACACAAAAAAAAAAATTGGTCAGGAATGCGTTCTGCAACATGATTTGCGCAAAACATTGAAAAAAACCACTACAACCTTCGGAAAATTGAAGGATAAACAAATTAAGTGCAAACATAGTCAAGGAGTAAAATACCAAATCCATTTATCTTTCAAAGAAAGAAATTTAAAGAAAGTACTTTGAAGGCAAAAACTGCAAAAAGCATAGGTGCAAAGCAAGTGAGCAACTTACAGCAGCTTCGGCCAAGGGCCGCTTGGTGGCTTCAGCACGAGCTTTGGTTGTAGACTGGGTTCTGGACTGAGATCCACTTCCACTGCGTTCACTTTGGCCACTGCGATCACTTTGCTCACTGCGTTCATTTTGATCACCACTGCCTTCACTTTGATTGCTGCGTTCCCCGTTCTCCTCTGTTGCTTCCTCAGAGTCCAGTAAAATTTCACCCAATGTATTAGATGCTTCTTCACTCAGTAAAATTTTAGCTATAAAACAAAAGAAAAAGAGACAGGGATTAAAATGATGCTATCTAAAACTGGACGGCTTCCCGTTAGGATCCATCAACTTTGTTTTGATCGGGCTTAAATTAACTGTCTGTAGGCACTTGTCACAGGTGAACAAGGCGGGTCAGTCCTCAGAAGTATTCAGAGCATAACCTAACAATGAAGAGAGCCCTAGCAGATTACAGAGTTAACTCACTTGGATTAGAGTTGACAGTCTGCTTCGAATTGTTGTTGCTGGATTCGAGAAGCATGGCAATGTGTCGCTTGATACGGTTACGAGGACCAATGCAGGGCACAAGACTTCGCAGGTCATCTTCACTTAATGTGGAAAGATCATCTACCACAATGTCGTTGGCTGAAAGTAAAAAAAAAAACAGGTTGGTTTAAGTTGATGAGCCACATTTCAAACAACACACTTGGGAGAGGACACGCACAGGGAAAGTAAACAAACAGATAACATCGGGCTAGAATTAGTGTTGAAGAACAGAGAGGAGTCTCTTCAAAACTCAAACAAACACCCAGTACTTCCAGAAATAAACATTTTCACTAAAAAGAAACTTAATGCTCCCAATTCTTCAGAATGATAAATGGAAATACCATGCAAAATCAGAGCCTTGGCATACATAACCTCATGAGATTGCCAAAACAAAGAACGGACTGATACACTTAAGATTCAAAATACATTGGTTCAAAGAGATGAAGTAAAATAAGATAATGAAACTTAATTTGATGAAATCAGAGAATAAATTGAGCACTGGCTTGCGTGACCTGAAACAAAGCTGATCTGGCCAGCTAGAGACTAGGCCTACGCTGCCTTTGTTTCGGGCTACAGCCGCGGAAGGAATTGTGGCTTGCCACAATGTTTAAGTTCTTAAACCCAAAATTTCCGCAAGTAGAAGAATGCAAACCAAGTGGCAAGAGACTACTAGAGGTCTAAATGTTGGTAGAAAACTCGCAAAGGGAAATAACTCTAGGCCGCTCTAGGCCAGATCCCCTAACCCCACCGTCGCAGCTCACTCTCGCACACTCACCTTTGAAAGACTCGATAATAGTGGGGTCGCTTACGCCCCACTCCTTCAGGAGATCCTCCATGTTCAGAAATTAAAGGATACGTAAAATGCAAATTCAGCGACGGGCGACGCGCCACTCGCCCTCGACGATCACTTCGCGTCGGTCGGCGTCAGTCTCGGCTCGGCCGGCCGGCTTGTTGTTGCTGCCCTGCCCGCCCGCTCCACCCCCTCCCACCATCCGCCCCACCCCCCCCCCTACCCCCTTCCCAAGCAGCGCGCCAAAAAGCTTCTAGAAGGTTCCATAAGTAGTAAACACACTGGGTGAAGTGACGAACGGGGATTTGATGTTTCTGCTAGCGAGCAGGGAAGGACGTAGCGTGAACGAAAACAATGAAACCAATGACCGACCGAATCGTGCGGTGCGTCAGTGCTTGTCACAAATAACTAATTTCAATATAATAAAAAAGATTAAACCAAATATTGGTGGTGACTGCCATTAAAATGTCTGAAGAGAGTGACGAAACAGAAATGACAGGACATCATGAAGAATTTGACTTTGCTCTCAGCGATGAATACAAGGTTAGTAAGTGCTGCAGTAATTATTTGAAAATCCTGAACCCTTGTTTATTACTTTTGGTCTCCGCAAACACTTTTCAAAATTCTTCCATAGCTTTCTGAGCTGATCGCTTTCTGGATTGATCTCAAATTTTGCTATGCTATTCACTGATGCAGTTTGCCGTCAGAGTTTTTCGATATTTGAGTTTAGTGCCAACAAATAGAAAAGAGTCACGTCTCCTTTCAAGTTTAAATGACAGAGAAGCAATGATAATTTTTTGAACAGGTGCCTGAACAATATTTTTTTCCTTGCCACAGATTAACGAGTTGAAGTTGGAGGTAGAAGAACTGAAAAAGGAGCTGACCCGTAGGAAGCAGAGGGAGATGCACTTAATGTGGCATTGTATGATGTACCGTATTGCATTGAGATATGCACCTGGAGGTTCCAGCACTCTGAGGGACACTCTTGATGCTTTCCATGAGAACCCGCAAAGGTTCCACTCCTGTTGTTGCTGTGAAACGGAGGACCTCACCAAATTAGTTAAAGCTCAACGATCAGAAAATACTGGACAGGTAAATACAAATGTTTGGAGCTCCACCCACCCCCACCCCTGTTAATTGTATTTTGGATTTAAAAAATTATTTCTTTTACAGGAGAAATCAAGCAAATCAACAAGTGAACTTGATGATTATGATTGTTCCAACTGCAAGAACGACTCTTTAATTATGCAACTTAACGAAAGTGTGTAACCCCCTCTATTTTTTTAAAATAAATTTCTGCTTTGTAATGTCAGTGGTTTCAAGCTAGAATTCACTCCCACCATACATTCTCTTTCCTTGTCAAGAGCTTTCCAATACTTTTCTTCAGATTTTTTGTTGAAGTGTTTTTCGCCAGTTTGGCCACACATCCAAACATAGTTGCGCAGCTACATTAGAGTACAGCATGCATGTTCTTCAAAAAGTACCCTTTTAACATTGAAACAAAAGTGTCTGCTAATGTAGCATACCATATTAGCTGAAGCACCTGAAATAGTTGTGTCAACCAGCGAAAAAACGTTTGCATTTGTACCAAACGCAAGATCGGTGTAATCACACTCGTGTTTGATGCAGTAGCAAACGCAGCTTTCTGCTTTAGCAAAACCGTTTAGTGTATTGGCAAACGCCCTCGCAGCAAACGTGGTTTTGCTGATTTAGCTAACTCTTTTTTTTCCGTGCAAGGATGTCATCAAGTCAATTAATGATATTGTTCCCACGCCCATGCAATATGTATAGGAGCTTTGATGAAAATGTCATCAATTTGTGAGGAGATTGTCATTATTTCAAAGTGATCAAAATGTCATCCACGTTTTCGTCATAAAGTGACAACAAATTTTCACAGTGCAGCCGCACACCTGTGTGTTTGGGCTACTATTTGCCTGCTTTTCTGGCAACCACTACCACATATCCTTAGTTGCCAACGCGAGCATGACGCAAGCGGTTTTCCCCTTGAAATTCTTCTCCTAATTCAAAATGTCGTTGCCCCTGTTAGTAAACAAAAAGTTCTACCCCCCCCCTTTTCTGAGGCCGCCTCTGGATCCGCCACTGCCACAGATGTTGAGTAACTGCCCTAGTATCATGCTAGTATGCAGGATGGGACGCAGCCAGCCGCACACCTGTCATGTGTTTGGGCTACTATTTGCCTACTTTTCTGGCAACCACTTCCACCTCAGTTGCCGACGCAAGCGGCTTTCCACCATAAATTTTTAACCAAGACTCTAGTAAGAGTATAATTCAAAATCCTCGTCACAAAGTCCATAACTTTTAATAACAGCTTTTAATTTTCAGAGCGTACTTGTAGAGCGGTGTAGTACACTTTACTTTTGGTTACTTGCAGTGGGTGAAAAAGATGCTCACTTCGATGAGGATCTTATCGTTCAGCTTGATAATTAGACTTAGCCTTGGAGAAAATTTTACAGAGGAAAACCGCTTGCGTCATACTCGCGTCGGCAACCAAGGATATGTGGTAGTGGTTGCCAGAGAAGTAGGCAATTAGTAGCCCAAACACACAGGTGTCCGGCTGGCTGCATCATCTCCTGCATACAAGGCAGTTACTTAACAGCTGTGGAAATAAGTTACCTTGTAGGCAACAGCCCGCCGCTCACCAGTGTGTTTGGGATACTTTTAGCCAACTCCTCATTGATATATTAGGGCAAGATAAACCGAATGATGTAGTCAACATTTACATTCGCCATGTTTAAAATCCGAGGATTCGAGCGTGAAGTAACTCGACCTATCAGGGAGTGGCCTCAGATATCGGTCGCTGCCTGTACACGGAGCAGGCGGTCTATGAATAGGGTTGGCTGCCTTTGATGTCACTTAATTCGGGTCCTTCACTGCAAAATCACCATTTTTTGGGTGCACTGTCTTACTTTCCCCCCTACAAAAACCGCAAAACCCTAGAACTTCTTGAGATACTTTAGGACAATGAAGTAGGGACCTCAATGGACCTTCAGGACAAAAATTTCAAAAATCGAAGATGGCGTTCGGTGGGAACTACACTGTAAAGTTCACTGTTTCTTCGTTAGAGTGAACTTTCCTATTTTCACATCTATCGACACCAAACCGACGCCACGTTATGCAAAATTTCATTTCCTTTCGAATGAGCACAGAATCACCACTCTAGGTCTCATAGGAGCCGAGATATTGGCACTTAAGTGAATCACTGTTTTTACATTTGGCAAAATAGCCAAAAATGAGCTATGGCTATATCTCCGGAAGTATTGGAAATTGGCCAAAACTATTTTAGGGCATCGATCTTAACACTAATTGACGGCGATCCACCAACTTTGGTCCAAATCGGTGACATCATGGCTTTGGCTCTGGTTGACTTGGCATGGAATGACCCAGGTGATTGTGTTGTAATATTACAGTGGATTTTTAACAGTGTACAACAGCTCATTCCTCAACCGTGCAAGACACGCCTTTCTACTCCACAACGGATTCCACACCATCCACGGAGGCAGTGTCACTGCGGCCGTACCCTGTCTACCACTGGTCCCAAATGCCGCCTGCGCTACAACCTCAGTACAATCACATGCTCATGAACAACCAACCTTCTGTAACTGACTCTCCCACAAGAAAGCTAATCCCAGCCAGTCCAAGCCAATTTATGGGGGATTCAGACAGCAGCCAGGAAATCATACCACCAACTCCAGCATCATCAGCGGTCACGCTAGTGGCGTCGCTTCCCACAACAACAACCACGGTTTCCTCATGCGCCCATAGTACAACCAGCGTAGGCATGTTATCTGCTCCGGGTACTAACCAATCCCAATGCATCTCATCGTTCTCGGAAAACACAGCATATTTCAACGCTTCCCAGAACATTGAAGACAGTAGTGCAAACTCAGCAGATCCACAAGACCAATACATCTCCGAAGATACATCTGAATGGGATAAGATCTTCGGGACAACAAACAATCAAAATGAGCCCCCCAAGGTTGAGTGAACCACTTCTTAGATTGTCAGGATTGTTTGTAGGCAGCAAAATATTGTTTTGAAACAGCATAAGTCAGAAAAATTAATTAGCAACGAATTCGTCGTTTTAAAACAAGCAAACTTGTTTATTAACAACAGCGTTGTCGAGGTTGGTAATTGTGTTGTTGTTTGTGGCCGGCTCTCTTTGCACAAGCAGCTCCTTAGCTCAGGCGAAGCGTAAGTAACCTAAGGGTAAATACGATGAAACTATTTTTGTTTAGCTGTGCTTGTTTACCGTTTTGCATACTAAAACACTAACTTTTATCGAAGATTGCCGCAGTACATAAGGCAAAGGGACACAAACCCCAATCGTCAAAGGCCTGCGCGGGGAGAGCGTCCCGAAACTGCAATTCTTACGCGGAAACAGAGTTGTCAGGCTGGATTTTCCGTTTTTCCCTCAAGCTGCGATGAAATTTCCCTTTTCGTCTCTGTTTTTCCAATTTCAAGCGTTTAAGGCCACTTTTTACGAAAAACCCTAGCAAAATGAAATAATTTTGAGCTCAAAATTTCCCATTTGCAATTTTTTCTTTCCCACGAGCCTTAAAAGTTCCCACGAAAGGGAAAATTTCCCTCGATCTGGCAACACTGCCCCTGCTGCCAGGTGCGGTGAGTTTACTCGCAGGTCACACATGAAGTGACCTGCTCAACCTGGACGTCATCAGATTGAGGAACAGCATGGTTTCGCACGCCGAGCTGACTCCGCTCATACGGTCTAGTTCGAGCCGCCGAAGAAGAATGAGCCAAAAGCGGTGGATTGTGGCGTCCTGCGCAATCTCAACGAGCCGTGCATTGCATCATGATGCCGACCTTGCGTCAGGTGGTCGTGACAACTTTTGCATCAGGCGTGTCTATCGGACTCCAGGGCTGTGCTGCAGTTTTTGCGTCAAATCTTTCGAAATACGGTATACTTGCAATCTTTTCGGTAGAATTGCATCTATGCCGTTCACGCGTTTCCGCGCTCTTTAAATAAACTTTTCCAGAATTCAAGAATTTTGTGGTTTTATTATTTAGCGAGGTCGATAGGGAGGCCATCAGGATTATGGAGACCCTTCGCCTATCTTGACAAGGTGGGTGTACGCCAGACCGTGGCTTCATCATGCTCCGCCAGTTCCGACAATCCCGGACAATCCAAGCATGGCGCTTGAGCCTACCTCGGCTTGCGGCGCTGGCCTGTGGCAGGCTCCTTTGCCAGACATCAGCACACAAATCGACGTGGTGGCGAGTCGCATCAGCGTTCGCCGTGTAAGGGTGAATTCAAGGGGTAGGGTCGCCACTGGAGGAGGACGTGGTCGTGGAAAAGATGCCCCTGTTGAACGTGCTCCTGATGCGCCCCCTCATTGAGTTAAAGTTGCCAGAGGGACATCCCACAGCACCGATTGCACATCAACCTGCCAGGAATCGAGTCTACCACCGTCAAATGCACTTTTGAGGGACAGACACTAGTTCTCATCTCAGCGTATTGCAAGACTGGACACCTCACCACCCCCGCCTTGACAAAATTGGCGACTCTCAAGGATCCTGTGGTTGCGCTTGGAGTTTTAATGCAAGACATCGAGTTGCCCGGAGTAGCTACAACAATGTCAATGGCAACCAACTATTTGGCAACAAGGTACATAACCTCAAAGTCATTATCCCCGATGACTTCACACACCGCCACTACTCCGGACAGTACCCCCCCTCAATTTTGGACTATGCGGTGACTAACAGGGACTTTGAAATCAAAACATCTGTGGAGGCATGGGAGGACAGCCCGTCCGACCATGCTCCATGGGTGTGTGAATTCCAGCACCTTGAGGTAGCAAGCATCACAAGTCGGATCAACTACATTCCCACCATCAACCGGCCACTTCTCCTAGCTAATCTGATGAACGATGAGGAAAACCAGCCTCCTACCTCAGAACTCATCGATAAATCCCCAGAGAAAGCAGCGGAAAAATTCACCAAAGCTCTGCAAGCTCAGATCTTTAACGCCACTACAGTCCGCACCACGTCAGCGCAACGAAGGACCATCCTCACTCCGGAGCTGCGCGACCTCCAAACGGCTCAGAGACAAGCTGCTCGGGCTTAGAAAAACCGCCCGACGGCTGAAGCAAAGAGCGACTTCCGCCGAGCAGCTCGAAGATTCAGGAAGGCCGTGCAAAAGCATCGAGTCAGCAGGATCCAGGACCTCATGAACAAGACGGAAGGAGACGCAGGGCTCTGGAAAGTCTACAAGAAGCTAACAAAGCCTCCAGAACAACCCCTACCCCCGATCCTCCACCAAGGCACATGGAACATCCAGCCACAGGACAAAGC